AAAAAAAAAAAAAAAAAAAAAAAAAAAAAAAAAGAAAACTCAGTGTTTGTTCACAGAAAACCTGGGTAATAGCCTGATAGGCTCCTGAATCCCCTCTTACAGAAGTTACTGGAGAAAGCTTTAAATTATAGAAACCGAAAGGGCAAACCTTTTGAGATGTAAATCTACCACCCCAAACTGCCTCCCTATCTCTCATTCAAAATATAGACATGCTGGGTGATAACTCTTACTCTCCTTTGTAATTTCTTCGGGAAAATAAGGACCTAACTTTGTGAGTGCCTCGCTTCAGCTCATGCTGTGGCACCTTGTCATAAAGTAGAAGTTTGTTTCTCCTTCAGATAAACACCAATTAGCCAGGGATTTAGCTCAGTGGTGCAGCCACCAGCCTTGTAAGCACAAGGTCCTGAGTTCAATCCCCACTACCAAAAAGAAAAATAAGGTAAACAGATAAGCAATCCAGGATTAATAAATCCAGGAGGCCCAACTCCCTTGAATGGTTCTCAGAGACTTTCCCTTAGTGTGCCCCAGCCTTTAAAAAAAGTTTGAAATTGAGATCAGTTCATGATGGGCTCTTCTACTGTGGTAGTCTACCGACTCCTTATCACCTTCACTAGTACCAGGCCTTGTTCATTCTTGACTGTACCTCTCGTATCCTCCCATGTTTAGTGTAGTTAGAAAGATCTGTCCTCAGATACTTAACAATTCTCACTGGGTCTCCTGCTCAACAGTCATGTGGCAGTTATAATAAAGTGCTTGTATTGGTACAGTTCATTTACATCTTCCAGTCCTAGAACCAGTATTGGAACTCCCTCTGAAGCATATGACAGGTTCATCAGGAGAAAAATTGGAGTATTATTACCCAAGGTGAAGAGAATACGTTCTGAGGGTCAAAACCCAACACAGAGCCATTACAGGAGACATTGGAGATTTTGCTATGAAATGATTGGATAAGATAGATGTATATTAAATGGGGATTTTTTGTTTCCATTTTATTTAAATGCATTTGTATGAAATTCCATTAGACTGACTTAAAAACCAACTTTCTCTGTACCAGTTTTACTTCATACCTGCATAGACCATCAACCCCTTGGCCATGTAGATAGCATTTTATACTTCCTTGTACCATCTCGGGTATCTTTCACCAAACCAAAAGTAGCAGTTAACAGAAATAAAACTGATGTTTCCCTTAATTAGTAAAAGAAGTAAATTTCTAACTGCTTTCTCTTAATTTATAGTACCACGTAATACTGATTTTGCTCTGTTTATCTCTCATGGCTACTTGCTAGCTGGCCTCCTTTCTGAGGACATGGAAATTTTATTCCAGGAAATAATAGAGCTAGGCATGGTGGTGCAACCCGTAATCCCATCCCTCTGGGAAGCTAAGGTTGAAGGAATATGAACCCAGTCTGGGAAATTTAGTGACTTAGTGAGACCCTGTCTCAAAAAATTAAAAGGGCTGGGGATGTAGCTCAGTACAAAGGCTCAATCCTCAGTACCGGAGTTTTAAAAAAAAAGGATCCACCATGAAGCCTTTGCTGATCCCCTTCATGAAAAGTAACTGTGCCTTTGTTTCACTGTTTGCGCCCTTGTTTAGTTCCAGCACTCTACAAGTGGTCAGATCATAGGCCCTGGAGTCGTGCAGTATGGATTTGAATTCCAGTTTTACCATGTGTTAACCATGTAACCTTCACCTCTATATGCCTCGGTCTGCTACCAATAAAACAGACCAGTAAAAAGGTCCATATGTTTGCTGACGGGTGTAGGTACCATCATGTATGTAAATAATGCCTGGCCCATAGTATGTGATCTGAAACTGACATTTCTACCTATTGTTGGAGGTTTTCATATTCCTCATATCTTCCATGAACCACAGTTTCCTTTGATTGTAGGATGGGAAATTAGTAATGATCTTCAAAATTATTTCTAGTACTAACATTTCTTGATTTTGAATAGTTAATGAAAATACATCTTTATTTTGTAGTTCAGCTGTAGACAGACTTTTTTCTGTAAAGGGCCTGATACATAATAAATATTGTAGGCTTTGAAGGCCAGATGGTTTCTTTTGAAACTATTCAGCTCTGGGGGTTATGTTGTGAAATTGCATAAAGATACTTAAGTGAATGAATGCTACTGTGTTCCAGTGGAATGTTACAAATACAGGCTGAGGGGTTAGGCCATGTTTAGTCTAGGGAGAACCCCCCTCGCCCGATGTGAAATGGTCCATGTGAGCAGGTACTGTTTCATCAACCCAATGTGGCTTATATTTTAGATCCTCAATTAAAATGTATTGATTTGAATTTAATTGGCATAATTATAGCTGCAGGAGGACTTTGGAACACCCTTCTTGCCTCCACCCTCTCCTTTCTTTCAACAAATATTTAGGAAGAAATTGAAGAGAATTACAGCTACCTTACTTGTATTTTTCGGAGAGCTAGACAATACTTTGGAGATTATTTTGTTCAAAATCCCAGTCTGACTTAATTGAGGCAGAGTTATCTGGCTTGCTGAGAATGAAAGCTAACAATACTTTTTAGGGTTGCAAAACTTTGCATGCTAACTAGGATAGTTAGTAGTCAAGAAAAATGCTGAGATAAAAATTTTTATTTAGTAAAAAATTGCAGTACTAACAGTTATTGTTAGACTTTATAAACGCTTGACTTTTCAACAGTAGTTCAATGCTGTGTAAGTAAACCTAAGAACAAACTGATCTTTAAGGTATTGCCTAACATTGGTGGAAAATAAACATAAATTTTAGTTTCATTATAGGGTGTGGATTTATGATTAACAAAAGACCTGGGCTATGTTATTTCTAAAATGGCAGTTTACAATTTAAAATACAGTCACATAGGGCTGGGGATTTAGCTCAGTGGTTCAGTGGCCTGCCTTGCAAGCGCAAGGACGTGAGTTCAATCCCTGGTACCAAATAAATAAATAAATAAAATTAAAATACAGTCACAGGCACACAGTTGATACTTGCTGTTCATTCCTGTTGGCTGTAGCAGGACTATATTCCAAGGTTAAGTCATTGGCATTAAACTGACATTTATTTTACTTGATTTTAAAATTCATTGGGCCTGTTCATTCACTTCCTTATTCTTTTCCTTCTGATGCCCCAAACCAAAGGCAAACTACTCACTTAATCTCGTTAATAAGGATGATCACTGTGTTTTAAGCATGTGTATGAATTGCTGTTATATCCATAGTACCATTTGTGATACCTACACATTAAGCATGTGGACTTTCTGAAAAATCTCAAAGCAGAACTTCAGTTTTCCTTTTAGCAGATTCGGTGTGAGGTTCAAATTAGAAAGTGTAAGTGTACCTTTATTACTATTTTAATATTTTGAATAGCTAAATTTATTAAATGTTTACTCTGTGGTAAGGAGTTTATATTTAATCCTCATAACTATATGAGGTACTCATCACCCCCTCCATTTTATTAGAGTGCTTAATGTTCTTAACCACTTTTTCATTCATTCAGCAAATATGTATTGAGACTTGTTATGTAGCAAGTAAAAGTACTTGTGAAAAGTAAAGCATTACAAAAAGCTCCTCAGTGACTCCTCAGTGCTCTTTCCCTAATTATATAAAGGGAATTACATTATTGTTTACCTTGTCTCTGCTGTTAGCCTAAGAACCTCTCAAGAAAATTGACTGTGCTATATTAGTTGTTATTCAGTATTCCCACTGCCCAGAATCACGCCTAGGACAGAACAGGCACTCAGCAAAGATTTAGGGATGCAGGAATGAGTGAATGGGGAAAAAAGGAACGAATAAAACCAAGCAGACAAACCTCTTCTAAGACCTCTTTTGTCATTCATACATTTAAGAAAAATCACTGAATCATGGTATTAAATTTTTATTGCAGTAAAAACTAGGACAATAAAATAAATGTCTTCAATAATTTACTTCAGTTAATATCATAAATCATATGCCAAAAGATTCATGTCTCTTGCTTTCACTTATCCTTATTATATTCTGATTATCATCCTACCATCCCCTCTTCACCTTCTCTATTATAAATATACACTGGGTTTTCATTAGTACTTTGTAATATATACCTTTGGCTGTGACATTTCTTCAGTGAAAAATCTGAGCCAAAACTAGTTCAGATTTAAAAATGAAAGGTGGGGGGAGGTGCTCCTCTATTTTTGTATAATATACATAAATATTATGAGACTTTTGATCCCTAGCTAATAACTGGTCTTGTTTACCAAGCTGCCTTTGAAAAAGAGAGGAAGGTGGTATTACTGACTTCATTCTTTGATTTAAACCCTCTTCTAAAAATATTAAAGGGAATAAATGAGATTAATAAATGAAGTCTAGAGATGTTGAGAAAAGCTCTTAAGTTTCTCACTGTCTTTTCACTCTGAATAAATGAACATGAACAAATTAAATATGCAGGTCCTCTTTGCCTGTTGAATGTTGAAGGAATGGGATAAAAGGGAAAAAAATGTGACTATAAATCATTAAAATATCTTTGCGTAACATCACTGTTACCATGTGATGAACTCGGCAGGTATAATCCAGGCTCTTGTGCACAATAAGCAAAGAATTATAAAGCATACACCCATAACAAGTTCTCAAGCAGCTACATTTATTATAAAACAGAAAAGTAGTCACAGGAAAGCAGAAGCACTGCACAGAAAACACAGTATGCAGCAGCAGCTCCCAAATGAATCAGACTTTAGGAATTGAAAGGAACCTCAACCCAGATGCCTCCCCTGAATTTCTAGGTGTGATTGACAAGGTATTAAGTCATCATCTCAGGGACACTCAACACATCTGTCCCAGAATTCGCTGATCTTAATTGAATATATGAGTTGTACCTATTCATGAACTCTTAATAAGGTTGGCATAGTGTAACGGTGACTGAAGATCAGGCTGGGAGTTCCAGTATGCAGGTACAGTTGCCTAGAGCATCAGAGATCTTGGTTTTTGTTAATTGATTCTATACCACTCAGGAAGAAGAGAGTGACTTCAGCTCCATTGTATCTAACTGACCCATCACTATTAAAACACTGTGGCTCGAGTAATATTTACATCCTATGTTAGCACTGGGAACTAATGAAGGGCCTGGAAACAAAACTTCGGTAGAGACCAGTGTTATCTTCCCCGAAGAGTCTTTAGCTTATAATCTAAATAGGCAACTCTGTAAGCTATAGTTAATAGAATATTAAACTTTCCTAAGACAATCAGTTCATGGTCCTTATAACCTGTTGTCAGCTATAACAAATCCGTGGTAAATGACTATTCAGAAATCTACACACCCATTGTTCATTGTTTAAAAAAAAAAAAAGGATGATCTGATCATTTTTCGCACTTATTTCTTCTAAGTTGAAATTTGGAGCTTCATGGTTTGGCTAAGCCAAGTCTTTTTTTTTCTTAGCAAATATATTAAAATATTTCATGCAATGTTTTCTATTTGGATAAGGAACAGAAGTAAAATCTTTAATTTCCTGGCACTGTTTTGCTGAATATATTTTCAATCTTAAAAATACCAACTATTGGTTGGTTGCCACACACCTGAAATCCTAGCTGTTTCAGGAGGTTGAGGCAGGAAGATCACAAGTTTGAAGCCAGCCTGGGCTACTTAGCAAGACCCTGCCTCAGAATTTTAAAGAAAGGTGTGTAGGGGGCAGAGGAAAAGAACTGGGATGTAACTAACTGCAGGGGTAGTACTGCCAAAAAAACAAAAACTTGTTTTTCCTAGTTTCGGCAAACTCTCAGGCTACCTAATAGTTATGAAAATGGTGATACATTTAAAAAAAAAACTAAGTACAGAAAAACCTTGAGTTTTGAGCATAGTTCATTCCAGAAACATCCTTGTAATTTAAGCACTTGTATCTCAAAGTGAATTGCCCCATAAAAAATAATGGAAACTCAGGAGGTTCATTCTATAACCCAAAAATAGTTATATAAAATTATTATAATGCTATAATACACAAAATAATAAAATATAGTGTATATAAAAATTAACCTGCACTTAATTTTGAAAACCTTTGTGGGGTATGAGGGAAACGAGAGAGAAAGGTTATCATGTAGGACAACTAACTATCACTAATGGAATCACTGCTCCCTGTTGTCTCAATAGAATATTTTTCTATATGTACAACTTTAACAGGGAGCCTATCCAATGACACTTGCTTTTTTTGCCTCCTTTGCAGGATTTTGCTGAAATGTGACATTTCATTGTTAAACAGTCTTCCCTTGGACTGCTAGAGCCTTATTTGGATGGTGCTTTTCTACAAAATTTTGCACTGTTTTATACATCTCCTTAATCTTCTTCGAAGTGAAAAATTCCTCTACCTTTTCCCCTTCCTCCTCTAAATACAAGATTTCCATAACTGCTTACTGTTGGGACACAATTACCCAAAATTTCACAGTGAGAGAGAGAGAGAGAGAACCATTGGCTCAGGTGTGATCATGTACTGTTGTGATTAGTGACATGTACTACTTGTATTACAAGGCTCATTTATGAAGTTAAAATTTATTAGAAATATTTGTCTCACAGGACATTCCAGAACAAGTTACTCACAATCCTAGGTTTTACTGTACTGTACTTTGTAATTCTTTATCTTTTGTATTATTTTGGTCCTTTAACATTATTTAGACAGTGTAAAACTATTCCAGTATTACATAAATTGTATTTTAGGGTAGAGCTCCTTTTTATTGTTACTGATTTCTTTTGGTGACTTTCCCAGTTAATTTCTTTTTTTTAATTTCTGAACAGCGTGTGGGTTTCAACAGACCATGATGAAATTGAGAATGTGGCCAAACAATTTGGTGCACAAGTTCATCGAAGAAGTTCTGAAGCTTCAAAAGACAGCTCTACCTCTCTAGATGCCATCATAGAATTTCTTAATTATCACAATGGTATGAGTTTGTTTACTCATTTATTCAGAATTTTATGTAATTTCTAACTTTATCAGATTACAAGATTTGTTTTAACATTAAAGATCTTAGTATGGCTTACTTGCCAGCAATTTTGATGTCTTTTTTAATTTCTTTTGTCATCTTAAGAGGTTGACATTGTAGGAAATATTCAAGCTACTTCTCCATGTTTACATCCTACTGACCTTCAGAAAGTTGCAGAAATGATTCGAGAAGAAGGATATGATTCTGTTTTCTCTGTTGTGAGACGCCATCAGTTTCGATGGAGTGAAATTCAGAAGGGAGGTAATCTGTTATCAGTCTTTATTTTAGCTTATTTTATTAAAAATCAGATTTTTGCACATAAATGTTCTGTAAGAGTAAGAAGACTAAAAAGCGGAGCATATTAGATTCATAACTGCAGTAGGTAATGACGTGTAATATTTCTATATCTTCGTTTTAGTCTATAATTTGATATTCTAATCCTTTATTTCCCTTTAGACATGTCTTTTTGTTTGTTTGTTTGTTTGTTTTTGTTTTTTGAGACAGGGTCTCACTATGTAGTTGAACTGACCTGGAACTCGCTATTAGCCCAGGCTGGTCTCAAACTCACAGCAATCCTCCTGCCTCAGCCTCCCGAGTGCTGGGATTACAGGCGTGCGCCACCACACTCAACTTAGACATGTCTTTTTTTGTTAAATACTTTTATGTCTGTTCTAGAATTCTTGGTATGCTCCCTATATCATATAGTAATAAAAGTATCTACCAAAGTACTCTGAAGAACTTCAAGAATAAAATTGTGAAATAGCCTTCCCAAATTTGTAGCTCCATATATAAAAAGGGTTCTGTAGGGTTTAGTGGGAGTCTGATTGATTTCTGGCTAGGTAAACTAACAAAATAACAATGGGCGGAAAAGTGTGATTTCTGTTAGGTTCAGTAGCATTTGTTGAATGTTTGGCCTAACTATCTCTAACATGTGCAAGGTGTAACTGAAAAATACAATGAATGTTTAAGTTTTAAAAGTTTATTACAGGAAAAGGCATATTGCCATTATTCCCCCTCAGAGCACCCTTTCTTGTTTTGAACACAGTTATCCCATGTCCTTGCCATTTTCTGAAACAGTTTTGGAAGTTCTTTTATGAGTGTTTTTAGTTATGCTGTCATGACTGCCTCGATGTCCCAAATTGTCCAAAAAGTTTACCTTACATGGTCATTTTGACTGGGCAAGAGCCAGCAGTTCCTCGGTATCAGATGCACTGCATAAGATGGATGAGGATACACTGTAATGTTTTAACCAGGCTCTTTTTCTATAAAAATGGCTCAATGCAGCAACATTCACTGTATTTTTTTTATCACACTTCATAAAGACACTTATAAAAGAGGACTTACAGAACTGCTTCAGAAAGTGACACAAGTGAAGTATTTGAAATGGGGTATTTTAAAGGGAATTAATTGCAGTGTGTCTTACTGTAATAATTTTTTTAACATTCACTATATGTCTTGATTATATCTCATGTTTTAAAGGAGATAAGGAAGATGCAGTGAAACTAGAGAAAAGACTCATTAAGATAATAAACAGAATAAAGATGGATGGAAAATAATGACAATATCAGAATGTGAAAATTGTCAAATCTAGTTGTCTTATGTTTTTCATTGCTGAGACAAAATACCTGACACCCACACATTAAAGGAGAGAAGGTTTATTTCAGCTCAGAGTTTGTAGATGTGTCACTTCATTGTTGGCTGGTTCCAAGGCAAGATGACATGGCAGAGGGGCATCACAGAGGAGAAACAATCAATAGTGTGGCATGCAGGAAACAGCAAGCAGTAAAGCAAGCCTCTTTCTCTTTTAGTCCATCTAAGCGATCAGCCTCTTGAGTAGTGCCATTCACACCTAGGGTAGGCTTATCATTAGCTGTACCCAGAACTATGCTAAACCAGTCAGCAGGCTAATTTAATACCACAAACCCTTAATCCTAGTATCACACACCCTACATCCAGCAAGCTCTGAAAAGCCTCACCAGTAAAATATACCAATGAATACATTTATTCATTGATTTCATTCAGTAAACATTTATTATTTTCTGTGTGCTTAGTTCTGTTAGGCTACCTGAATAGTTTTTTTTAAGTTTATTTACTAAATCTCAGAAATAACGATCTAGGATAGATCTATTAGATTTTAACAAAACAATTTTGAAGCAAATCCTTGAAACTCAAATTTAAACTAAATATTAAAGTTAATATGCTGTATGAGTAGAGTTAGATAAACTCAAATATCGAATGAAATCTGTAATAACATCTATAAATATCTATTAAGAAAATTAAAACTCTTTGTAAAAAATGTCATTAATATATCAAGGGTTAATAATATTAGGCACAGTAACTGTCTTTTTATGTGATCTGTTTATTCCATTGGAACCACTGTGAAACAATGTTACAGAAGGTGGCATTTCTAACCTAAACCAGACTGGCATTTCTTAGCATTATTTTTTTGTTCCTTGTGCATAAAATCATCACTGCTAAAGTATTAGTGGTTTAATCAATACTTTAAAAAGTATTTATTTTCTATAACATTTTATTTTTTATTTTTAGTGTCCACTAGCACCTTACATTAACATTAACACTAACACGAACATTAATACTTGAAATGTTTACAGTGCCAAAGAGAAATGTACCATAAACATAAAATCCATATTACATTTCAGAGATTTAATATGAAAGAAGTATTATACCTCAATTTTTATATTTATTACGTATTGAAAAGATAATATTTTGGATGCATTGAGCTAAATAAAGTGTTAAAATTAATCTTGTTTCTCCCTTTTAAAAAATGTAGCCACTAGAAAATTTTAAATGACATACATGACTCATATATTTCTAATGGAAATCTAGAGATTACATTTTATGCTCTTGTTATAGTCTACATAGAACTAGGATTTTACAACTTTACAAATAATTAAGACCCTCACACTGGTATAGATTTATTTATACCCTGCCTTTTTTACTATTATTAAAACAATCCACCTTTATATCTGTTGTTTAAATATTTTCCTCTAATTTCTTAAACATTTTTTCCTCTGTCTTTTTATTGAGTTTATTGGTACATTTTAGGTATACAGTACAGTTACATTCTATTGGGATATCTGTTGTTTAAATATTTTCCTCTAATTTCTTAAACATTTTTTCCTCTGTCTTTTTATTGAGTTTATTGGTACATTTTAGGTATACAGTACAGTTACATTCATTATTGGGATCTTGTACCTTTACATGACAGGTCTTGGTTGTCATTTTTTTCCCTTGTCCCTCCCCTCCCCTCTTTAACATATTTATAACAGCTGTTTGAAACTTCCTGATTGGAGAGTCCAACATCTGGGTCCTTCGTAGATCTGCCCCGTGACTGTTTTCATCTTGATTATGAATCACTTATTTCTGCTTTTTAATATGTCCTTTACTTTATTGTATGCCTGACAGAGAGACTGGAGTTAGGTGTTTCCCCATGGAAGGAACATTCCCTTTCTGACAGATAGATAGGATCAGAGGCTAATTACATTGCTCTGGCCATGAGTTGAGCTGGATTGAACTATAATTTCATTCAGCCCTCAGTGCAGGTGCCTTATCGGAGGACTTATCTGACAGTACTGTTGACACCACCAACTTTGCTAATAGAACTTTGAGATCTAAGTGCTACCAGGTCTTCCAACGCCCATTCCCAGCTTCTCCATGCCATAGTACACTCACTGCAGAAATCCTGGAATCAGAACTATTGGGGATGGAGTGAGGTTTGAGTTTGGAAGACAGTCTGCAACCCAAGTCCACAGGGCCATTAAAAATTCTTCTGGAAAGGCTCTGAGTTTGATCCGCAGCATACACACACTAAAAAAAAAATCCTCTAATTTCTCTTTGATCTTTTTCTCACCTTCTCTTCATACTCAGCTCATGTTCCCAGGGAGAAAGCAACCACTGATTGTAGGAAAGACTTGGCCCTCTTGAATTAACTGGTCATTGTTGTCCCTTGCCTATCACCATCACTAGATCTCATGGGCTATCCACTGCTATAAAGCTATGTTACTGCTACCTATAGATACTCAAAATATATCTGCTGGAATTTTTCCCCAGAATATATCAAATATTAGGATACAGTGGAATGGTGGATGGTTTAGTTAGGAAAATAAGTAGAGGTTATTCCTAGAAGTTTTTACACATGGAAGTGACAGCCAAAAATGAAGAAAGATTCTGTCGAATTACCAGCTGTTAAAGTGTGCATGGATGTGTGCGTGTGTGCCCATACATACACAGATTAAGGGAAAATCACTGAGACAGTAAGAAAATCTAAACCAATCCCAAAGGCTTTTTTTTATGTCTAATTATAATCATTAATGGTGATATTGTTGAATCTTCATTCTCAAGTATAATGATAAGCATTATTATAGTTCATGTAATTTTAACTACTAGTAAAAATGTCTAATAAAATTTCCATCAGTATAAAAACTTTAAAATTGATAGGAAGATGCTGTTTTCTATAATAACTATGAAAGTGATTTTTTTACCTGAATTATATAAATTTTTATAGAATATAATTTCTATAGATGCAAATAATGAGAGATTAAAGTACTCAGATATTGAATGTGGGTATTATTTGACAAGTTCCATTCTTTTGACACCACTTTAAAGCTGCCTTGATGTTCTCCAATTGTATTACATTAACATAAATATTTTAAAACCATAATTATTCCAAAATTGTTTATAAAATACTTTTTATGTACTATTATTAGTTGTCAGAAAGCAAAGATATACCATCAAATTATTGCAGATTTTGTTCCTTTAGTCATTTTCTAATCTAGATACAGAAATAGTCTACATTTTGAATTCATTTTTATTCTCTTTTTCTAAGTTCCTGAGTGAACCTTTCATTCAAAGCAGTATGGACTTATCATAACAATTTGCTTTTAGTGAATGAAGTGACTGAGCCTTTGAACTTGAATCCAGCTAAACGGCCTCGTCGGCAAGACTGGGATGGAGAATTATATGAAAATGGCTCATTTTATTTTGCTAAAAGACATTTAATAGAGATGGGTTACTTACAGGTTAGTATATTCATTTTGCCGAATCCTTTTAGACCGTTTTGTGTTGAGTTCCAGGAAAGAAGCATGATACAGTTCATAAAGGAAAGTATCCAGCCCGAGGCTGTATTTGGCAAGCTTTGTCACCTGAGGCGTTTACCCCACAGTGAACATTCAAAATAACAGCAAGATAAAAAGCAGATCGAATACTGAGCATTTACATATGTCCTGGTATTTTCAAATTCTTCCATTCAAAATTGTTTGTAATCCTTAATCTGTTTTACACTTATGCTGTGATTTTGTGGTTGAACACTTTCCATTACTTTGAAAAGAGAAAATAATAAACGCAGCAGAGGTGAAAGGACACCAACCTGAGCATAAGGAAAACCAGAATCTAGTTCGGACTACATATTTCTAACAGCATAAGCTTTACCTGTTCTGATTCCCATTGCTCATTTTAAAATAAAGGAGTTGAATGTCTCTCTCATCCTCAGGGCCTACATGACTGGATCATGTATTTGCAATTGGTTCATTTTAGTTATAGCTGTTATTTATTGAATGCCTATTTGTACCAAAGACTATATGAAATGCTTTTCTTAGGCTGTCTCATGTAATCAACATAGCTGAAAGAAGGACGTTCCTGTCCCACTTTTACAGAGGACACTGCAGCTCTGAGAAAGGAAATAACTTAGGGCAGAAACAGCTAGTGGAACTGTCAGGATTTAGATTAAGGTCCTCATATTATTCAAAATCGCCTTTAGAAAAAGAGGGGCTGGGGAACTCAGTAAAAGAGTGCATGTTTAGCATATGCAGGTCCCTGGCTTCATCCCCCAGCACCAGAAGATGGAAAAACCTCTACACTGTAGCAGAAATTCTCATGGGACTCATGCTCTGAGAAAGAAGGAAAAGCATTTTTTTCTTATATTCTGGCCGATATATAGGCAAACTATAAATTGATTTCTTGGTTGAGCTTGAGGTTCAGGGATACTGTATTTCATACACAGAGATCTGCCCTCCCTGAGCTCTTTTCTAAAGAGGACTAGTCTTACCCCTTCCTAAAGTGTGGAGAACAATGATACTTATCATTGTAACAACATTTGAAAAGAGACAATTCTGAGTAAAGAATTTTTCCAGTAATTGATCTGGTCATTCATATAATTACCATCAGAGGAAAGGCCCTTCCTCCTTCCCCTGTACCCCAGAACCTGCCCCTGCCTTGGCCCAAATGTCCCTGGTTAGTTGTTCACTCTCCTCGAACCCAAGTGGTTCTGTGCCTGGAGGCAGGGCTCATCCCCTCATCCTGCCTCTTGCTTGCAGTCTGGAATAGAAGTTGTGAAAACCATTGTACTGCTGTTTCATGATTGTGGGAAAGACTGCCAGAAAAAAGGGGAATAGGATTTTTATACAATCCCTTGTGGTCAGAAAGCTGGAAGATGGGTATTATTCCTGCTTTTTTTTTTTCAATCTTAGAGATATATTTAAAGAAAAATAGGGAACTTATAGTCTTTAGAAAGAACTTGAAAACAAAATTGTTTTGTGTAGCTTTCCTCTAAAAAAGCATTTGTGGCACTACTTTACTAGGTTATTTTTTCAGTAGTGTAGAAATGAATCAGTTGTTCTGTACTATAATAAAAGTTCTTCATATGTGTGAGTGAATGTTAAAAGCAGTACTCACAAATTCATACTGTCTTTAGGGTGGAAAAATGGCGTACTATGAAATGCGTGCTGAGCACAGTGTGGATATAGATGTGGATATTGACTGGCCTATTGCGGAGCAAAGAGTATTAAGGTAAAAAAAAAAAAAAAAAGCAAGCCTTTGTACTAGAGCCGAGCATTGCTTTTAGTAGATATATTTAATCTTTCTTCCAGGTGCCGATTTCTGGCACTCCAAACTCTCAGGGTCTTCATAATTAGTTCACTTGTGTGGGGACGTGTATAAAATACTCCTTTCCATGACATGTTCTGTAAATTGAGACCCATTGTCTGGCTCTGCCACAGTTTATGATTTGTATGGTTCTGGCCCGCTAAGTTGAAGTGTGCATGTGAAGCAAATTTGAAGAGTGATATTTGAATATTTGGACAAAGAATGAGGTGTTCCGTTCACTGATACTGTCCTGATGAGAGGGATGAATGGTACCACCCTTGTACTCAAAGGTCTGTTTTGGTTTCTTTTAGATTTGGCTATTTTGGCAAAGAGAAGCTTAAGGAGATAAAACTGTTGGTTTGCAATATTGATGGATGTCTCACCAACGGCCACATTTATGTGTCAGGAGACCAAAAAGAAATAATATCTTATGACGTAAAAGATGCTATTGGGATAAATTTGTTAAAGAAAAGTGGTATTGAGGTATGTGCTCTCTGAATATAGCATATTTTGAAGATTTTGATTCAGGGTCAGAAAATGTAGGAAACTATGATTTAAAAATTTAGTATTAACTATTAAAGTATCTACAGTTTAGCCTTCACATACCTAGAAAACTCTCATGCTTTTTACCTTTAGATGAGTAAAGTTAGGAATTTTTAAATCAACAAATAGTATTTCTTCTTTGTTTAATAAGTAAAAATATACTAGTTTTAAATAGGAGCTATCTAGTATTTCCCATCTTGATGTTGGAACAAGAAGTATTTCCTAGGTCATTGGTGTTGGCATTTAGAAAAAGGCAAATATTTTTGGATTTTTAAAATGTAGCATATTATTCTAATTCAAAATAACAATGCTTATTTTTAACATGAAGGCTAAGATTATTATAATTACTAGAAAACTTAAATATATGTTGCTGAGGAGCATAAGAAAGAGACTAACTCCTCTTGATAAATTGAATTTTGGAAAGTCTTAGATTGGTATCAGACAATGTATATAGTATTTTTTTTACTTATAAATAGAGTGTTCTCCATTGTAAAAAATGTGTCATCTTTATTGAACTATTAGAAATAAAGTAAGCTTTATCTTAAATTGCCGTTTTATTTCATTGATCTTTCAGAAGGGCAAAGGAGTACCCATTTGTGATTTCGATTATTTGTGAGGTTTTATTTTGGTGTGAAAGGTTTCTGCTTCCTTTCTAATGCTTCCCCTCCTTTGCAGGTGAGGCTCATCTCTGAAAGGGCCTGTTCCAAGCAGACACTCTCCTCCTTAAAGCTGGATTGCAAAATGGAAGTCGGCGTCTCAGACAAGCTGGCAGTCGTAGATGAATGGAGAAAAGAAATGGGCCTGTGCTGGAAAGAAGTAGCATATCTAGGTTGGCACCATTTTATTCAGCCATCGTAAAATGGACCAGATTGATTTATTTATTAAAAACAGATTAATAGGAAAGAAAATTCCTCAGATTGGACTGTTGTAAGAAAATAGGAACTCTTCCCTAGGACAGCCTTTCTAGAAAGGTTAGTGTGGTAGTAGTTAGCAAGGGTAGCTTGCTAGAAAGATCACCAGTACATACTGTGGTCAGAATGCTCTGCTGACCAGTTTTGGTAGGACAACCTTCCTTCCTCCTCTCTAGGCTGACATACATATTTCACATGCACATATCATCATAGGGCCAATACAGACATTGATAAATTAATCTGGGTAGCACTCAGAGTTTTTAGTATATGAGCATCACGCTCAGACATTTTTTCCTATTATTAAACATACTTTTTAATCTTTAAATTGTGATTTCTGTTTTTATTGGCATGGTCAGATGGAACAGTTAAGTTTTCACTTAAATACTAAGCAGATATATTTAGTAGGTGCCTATTATATTGGAACTGTAAGCTTACTACCATACTTGGTAGAGTTTACAGTCTAATGAGAGCAGTATTTTAAATGCTAAGAATGACAAGTTACAAAGTTTCACAGTGACTATAAATCACATAAATAAATACTTGCAAGAGGAACAGAAGCCTCAGGAGAGGCACAGTACCTTTGGAAATCTGTGATTTGGGAACTTCTGGAATAGCCTTTGAGCAAAATGTAAGATTCAGTGAGCAAAAATACTGCAGAACATTTGTTAGAGAATGACCCAGTTTTTGTAAGAGGAAAACAATTTTAATAGAACTTACAACAAATCCCAGATATATTTACTATCTGCGAGATGTTAAACAAGCTTCATATGACTTACTTTTCCTGTTTTAAAAGCAAATCTTTATAAGGTCATTGAAAAGAAAAACAAAGGTATTACAAAAGCCAGAACAAAAATCCCTTTCTATAGCAATAAATGTATAATTTATATAGGTTAAACTGTAGAATTACATTTACCAAAATATGATTATCCATAAGCAGTGATAATGAGGATGATTTTGATTTCCTTTATTTTTTTAAAACTTCCTATCAAGAGTATGTGTTACTTATATATTTTTTAAAACTATAAAAAAAATAGAAGTTAGAAAATAGTCTCCAAATTTTTATTTTAAAAGCAGCCAGGTGATGAGGGAAGAAAGCACAGTAATGTCAGTATGCTTTAGTATTTACTTAAAAATGGTGAATTTTCTCCAAATTCATGGCATAAAATCAGAACAAGCTAGTAAAGATTAAAGGATATTTAATATACACGTCAACAATCACTCCTGATTTTTAAAAATTACCTATAAAGACAGTTTATAGTCTTGGATGCTTCTGTCTATGTGAAGTTTTCCTTAATGAAAAGTTGAAATAATTTGTAAGTCATACATAGAATTTGTAGTAATTGTAATATGCCTGGCAAGTACAACTTACACTCCAATCTTTCTAGCTGCCAAGAGTTTAATTCCTTTGGGAAAACCTTAGGTCTCGGTTATACTTTAAAATGTTTTTGTTTTATTCCATCTGATCATTAGTATTCTTATGCAGTCAGGGCTACCAGAACCTGTAGTAGGTCATTAGACATTAAAGAATTATTATTAATTTCGTGTTTGATAATACTGTGCCACTTTAAAAATATATTTATTTCAGATAATGCTAAAGAGTTTTCGGATAAGATACAGTATCTGGGAATCTTGACCTTCCCACCAAGAAGACTAGGGTATAAGAAATAGAGAAAAATACTGATAAATAATCTAAAACATTTACAATTATTCAATATGAACTTGGATTTTTCTGTATGCTTGAATGTTTTCTAAGTTGAAGTTGAAATAATTTGTAAGCCATACATAGAATTTCTAGTAATCATAATATTCATGGCAAGTACAACATACACTCCATTCTTTCTCTCTAGCAGCTAAGAATCCGATTCTTTAGAGAAAACCTCAGGCCTCAGTTAAATACTTTAAAATGTTTTTGTTTTGTTCCATCTGTTCATTAGTACTCTTTTATGCGGGGCTTTAGATCTTTAACTTTAGCTGCCAGAGTTACTTACTGTATTATTTCACTGGGACACTCTGTGTCTCTCACTGTTCCTTGGCCTTTCTTTTGCCCAATAGGAAATGAAGTGTCTGACGAAGAGTGCTTGAAGAGAGCGGGCCTAAATGGTGTTCCTGCTGACGCGTGTTCTGCGGCCCAGAAGGCTGTGGGATATATTTGCAAATGTAATGGTGGCCGTGGAGCCATCCGAGAGTTTGCAGAGCACATTTTCCTTCTGATGGAAAAGGTTAATAACTCATGCCAAAAATAGAAATAAGTGTAATGTTGGGAAAGAAAGACTACAGCCTCCTTCGGGCGTTTTGCTTTTATTTTTGACCTAAGTACATTTCCATGGTGTAATGTTGGAGAAGGTGTGATTTGATTTGTGATATATCTTAATATCCTTTCAAAGCAAAACCTGAAATTATCATTCCAAAACCTGTGAAATAATTGTGCTCTACTTTTCTCTTTACGCAAGATGATTATTTAGAGACAGATCATAGTCTTTCTTAGATTTTTAGTCAATATAAGACATCAAAAATGACTTTGTATTGTACCCTGTAAACTGTGTGTGTGTGTGTGTGTGTGCTTTCAATGACGCTGGGGTTTTATTTATTTGGAGACAGTATGTCTGTAAGACATGTATTTCTGTTCATTAATAAAATTACATTTCATAAACTTGATGAAAACTGCCTTGTTGCTATTGAGGACATTTACTCAGAATTTCCTTTGTAAACACTAACCACCCATTCTTAGGAAGAGACAAGCCACTAGATCCAGAGTATATAGCATCTGATTGTATTTTAAATACGTATACAGATAGCACATAGCTATGAATATAAATATCCAAATAAATTCTCATATTCTGAAGGTTATAAATTGATTTGAAGGAGGCAGTTAGTCATCTGTTGTTACCGCTGAGATGATGGTAATTTTGTGCAGTGTATTTGGCTATCGTCACAATTTTATGGCCAACACAAACTGCACCTACCTGATTGGATTTCAAGAATGGGCCACTGTCTCATAAATGCAGTCACTTACCTCATAAATGCTAACCACTTCCTATGGGACATTTATGTCTCTCAACTGTGAAAAAGAATTCATGTTCACCTGACATGACCAGGCCATACAAAAAGCTCTTTTCCTCCGTCAGGAGTTGGATTTTCACTGTTCTGAATCTGTCCCGATAGGACAGACAGATCAGAGAAAATAAAAGAACCATTTTATACCTTAATTTCCTTTACACTCAGTTCTGGTTTTACTGTTGTCATCCTGGTTTTCCCACTGCTGAATTTATTTTCTTCTGCCACCTTAAGTTTACCCCCAAAGGTCCCCACCGCAGTTCTTATTTTTTCCAAGTGACATATCTGTATTTAAGGTCTGCAGTCTCCACACAGACGACCCTCAGATCTAATCTCCAGGCCAGTACTCCTGCGACCTCTGGATGCATCTCTTAATTCCATGTCACAAGCAAGACTCTTGGTCTTCACCTCTCAAATTTCTTATTTTATCATTATTAAGACGTTACAGCTTTCTCAGATTCTTTTTATCTGGATACCAAACCTACTAGTGCAGTGTCCTGCCAGTTTACTATTGCTGAGTTGATGGTTCGTGTTTGCTGCTGATTCTTTTTCAGAATTTTCTAGTGACTCCACACTGACTGTAGAATACGTTTTGGCTCCAACGTTAGAGTCTGGCCACAACGCAACACTACTAATTATTTTGGGTCCCTCCACTCCAATTAAACTTTTGTGTAGTTCTCCAGCAATGCCTCTCTTGGCGTCCTACTTTATCAGCATGAGATATTCATTCTTCAAAATCCTTCTGCTAAAATACCTCCCAGAGTAATGAGTGCATGTGAATACACCTTACACTGAAGTTCTTGTTTTATTTCAGTGACCCAAACTTAAGTACAAGGAGACACTGCTGTCTTCACTGTTACTACTACCTCCTGTGTTCCCAATAATAGAAAATGTATGCTCAGCTCTGATATGTAAAGGACCTAGATAGAGGTTACCACTCTAATCCCCCCAACAAGAAAAATGAAAAAACTGAATTCTCAGCCTTGCCAGAATAGAACAAGCAGTTTCTGTACATCTGGAGAGACAGGCACATCCAGAAGGCCAACAAGAGCAGAAGCTGCTGGATTCTACACACCAATAGGAACACACGAACTGTAATTTTCATGACTTAAGAGGTTGAGTGGGGACTCACATGAAATAAACTCGGAGGCCACTGGTGTGGGAGACAAGAATGGACACACACACACACACGCACACGCTCCCTTTTCCCCCAGCAGGTTCTCCCCATAACCCTGGCAGAAGGGGATAAAGAACAGATGTGGGTAAAGAACAGATGTGGAACCTTCCAAATCTTCCTTAACACAAGGCTGCTCTCCCCTACGAAGACCTCCCCAAAAGGCAGTAGTGAATTTTACCCCAGCTGGGAGAAGGGGACTTTACTCCAGCCTACTTTTTATACTTTTAGTGGAATACAAGCAGATATTAATAAAATTTTAAGAACACTTCCATGAAAAATACAATTTCATAACTAATTAGTAACAATGGTAAATATACTGTATCGTGCTCAGAATATACTTTCAGTTGCTAATCTATTGGCATAAAACATTTGCATAAAACATTTTGTTAGAGTATCTGACACTAGGTGTTATTTTGAACGAATTTCTTCCTACTTCACAATATCTATATTTTGGTCATTTACATTTTCAGTTTCTCATACCAGAAAGATAATGTGTTATTTACTTGTGTGTGTTTGATTTATTTCACTTAGGAGTATGGTCTTAAGGTACATTTATTTACCTAGTGTAGTATTTTATGGCAGAGTAGTATTCCATTATATTAAAAAAAACACATCTTTTTGTCCATTCCTCGGTTGATGGGTATTTGGATTGTTCCCAGGATTTAGTTATAAACTGTGCTGCCATAAACATGGGTGCACAAACATCTCTGTAGTATGTTGCTTTTAATTTGGGGGAAGATACCCATAAGGGGACTAGCTGGGTCAAATGGGACCTCTAATTCTTGTCTCACCTAACAGGAAAAATCCAACAAGAGTGAATACTTATGTAAGTTAGGGATGCCAACGTCAAGAGAAACCATAGGGAGCAGTAAAGAGCATGCTCCCAAGAAACAAGCCCACTTAAATTAGACCAAGGGGATACTTTGGAATGTCCCCTACTGCTCTACCATACCCTGTACCAACAAGTGTCTGGTACAGTAACAGTGAAGTAAGGCAAAAAATAAAAAAGTTGGGAGATAAATTTTGTCTAAGGAGAAATACAAAAAGAAACTTCATTGGCCAAAAACATGGTGTATATTTCTTCTATGTGAAATACTTCTTTTAAGTAAAACAATTAGTACATTTGCAACTATAGGGTTATAAAGGAAGGTAAAGGTAGTCTATTATACTCTGTTTTATAGCCACATAAATAGTTTGGCAAATATGGACATTTAAGGCTCTAGAGATGATTAGCTAGAAAACTAGTTCAGAATATTTAAAATTCTCAATAGCTCCGTGTACCTGGAAATACTCTTGATTAAATGATGATTCTTTGAAAGAGAATCATCGGTAAGGTGATTTTATTTGTGAGGGCTGTTTACCTGTTCTCAACCATGAAATATCTAACATATAAGAGACAGTGATGTCCTGAAAATAAAAAGATAATAAGACACAAAGGATGGAATGAGTCTGGAAAGCCCTCGAAATCATAGTTTATTTGTGAGTTACATTAAGGAATTTTTGTTTTGTTCTAAGAATAATGACACAGAAGTCAAAGGGATTGAAACAAGAAAAGCTTTTTAGGAGGAGGTTAAATTTGAACTGGGCCTGAAAGACTGCATCAAATTTCATGGGTGTCAGAGGAGAATACCAAACAGAAGAGGATGGCACACTGTATTCAGAGAATTAAAGAGGCCACTGCATACGGGGCCTACAGGATCTAGACGCAATGGTGAGAAATGAAATCAGAAACAATGGGACCAAATTGAGGGTGACCTTTGAAAGAAAATGTTGGATCTTTGTGTTGGCTTGGAAATGCCCAATGTCCTTTTTAGTCCAATCTGCCCTGTGACCACTTTAATTGTCTATTTTGTGTTTTCTGTTCCCTTTGTAAAGTTAGAATAGCTTCAAACTGCGCACAAAATGAGCTAAACCCTTCCCGGAAGTCCTCACTGTTACCTGAATTGCTAAGCACTGGATTCTTTCCCTGTTATGTAGATGACCACGTGTCGCTATTTTAAAGTCTTTGATACACTCTCCTGGGTCTCATCTGTTGTTTACTTACTCTCCACTGGCAAAAATCACTTTCTCTATATCTACAAGGTTTGCTTATGAGTATGACCCCTTTGGTAACCTGAAGTCCTGTTGGCCTGACCTGGTTTGGGAAGTTTCACTAGTGAAAATAGCACTTGTAGTTTGTCTGGCTTTCACAGTGTTATTTCTGATATATAACTATTTCATGCTTTATTACTGATTGCTGTCAAAATGTAAAGGTAAAATACACGAAATAGTATTTGCAAGCTGAGGAAAATATTTTTTAAAATCTCCATGGTTCACATTTTGGCCACTAGGTGGCATAACAGATCTAGTGTTAAAAACTGGCGTTTTCACAGGCTGATTGGAAATAACTAACAGCTTCTAATGAGACTTAATAGCATGTTTTCATTGTTCAAGCGTCAAAGGCAAACATCAATATCCACTGCAGGAAATTCTTTATTAAGTATCATTGTGGTATTTACAAGTCGTTCTTCACAACAAATCACATGGATGTAGCTTCTTCTAACAATGTTGGAAGGAGCCTTAAGTGAATAAACAGGAAGGAGGAAGGAAAACATGAAACAACTAGACTGCTGCCCCAGAGTCCACTAGAAACAAAGACATATTTCCAAAGCTACAAGCTCTGTCACTCATTAAAATGGCCTCTGCATATATTAACTTATTTCAAACCTTCACAGACTCTAAAAACCAATTCCTTTTATTTCCTCTGTTTCACAGATGTGGAAATTAAGGCACAGGGAGTTTAATGACTACTGAAGGTCAAACACTGGGTAGAAGATCCAGAACGTTCCTAAAACAACACACTATACCTTTGGCGAAGGCCTGGACCAGGTGGTATTTCCTCGAAGCATGATTCCTCAACCAACCTCATCAAAATCCCATGTAATAATCACTAAAGATAATAATTGCAAAAATATATGTGCTAGACTCACCCCGGAGCTGCTCAGCCAGAATTTCTGAAGTATGATCCAAGAAATCTGAAGATAAATAAGATCCCGTTAGACGACGTTCATGCATACACACTGAACTTCGAGAATCCTCTTGCTAGAAGAGGGAATCCAGGAGAGAGAATGGCCCGCCCAAGGCACAGAATAGAATCCAGGCTCAGAGGCCACGCCATGCCCTCTTCATCTTGGAGATCTTCTTCCTAAGTAGAAAGCTGGCCTCAGACGATCTCCACTCACTCACCCTCCTCTGGACCCACACTTGTCTTGATTATCTCTGAGGGCCTTTTCTAACTCAGGTGTCCTCAACCCTGACTGCCTATTTGCCTCACCACAGGGAGTTTTTTAATCATGCAGATGCCAGAATTAACTCAGGCCAATTGAATCAAAATCTCTGAGGATGGGGCCTAGAGTGTGGGAGCTCAAATTTTTTTTATC